AGGGGGTCGGTGCTGAGCAGAGATCATTGTGGTTGCCTGTGTGGTGGCCAATCCCTGTGGGGTCCTGATGCTCCTCTTCCCACCAGGACTGAGCATCCCGGACATGGCATCACCTTCACCTCACCCACACCTGCTACTTCTGTCACACCGAACGGACGCCTGCTCAGCCTCATGACTGCTTTCTCTACACTGTATGGGGGCATCTCAAGACCTCCCCGGCCCCTGGTGCAGGCACCCCAAGTGAGTCCCTATCCCGACGGTTGTGGGGCCAGGGGAGAAGGTGGGAGAGCTGCTCCCTTAGTTAGGTGACCCTGTCCGGGAAAGGTGAGGGATGGTCCCTCCCGAGATGGCGTTCAGTCCCAGGACCCCGTGGCCGCAGTTCCTCCTGTCGGCCTGGAAGCAGCGAGCTGCCACGGCTTCTACAGCCGAAAGGAAACGAACTCTGCCACGAACCAGTGTGACTTTGACGAGCCTTGGATGAGACCCTGCACTGGCCAACATCTGACTGCGGCCACGTGAGACCCGAAGCAGAGGACCCAGCTGAACCGTGTCCGGACTCCTGACCCATGGAAACTGGGGGATAACAGCCAGACATTGTTTTGGACCCAGAGTGTGCGGTCACTTGTCACACAGCAACAGCTCACTGACATAGCAACTCGCTGCGAAGAGCCTGGAGGCAGCAGACGCCGGGCACCTCTTGGCAGAACTTAGCTTATCCTCAGATCAGGCAGCTTATCCTCAGATCAGGAATGATCAAGTCCAGGCTGAGAAATCGCCAAGAAAGGCGGGAGGCACCCCAAAGGGCGGGCAGGCGTCAGAGAAGAGGTGCTAAATGGAGATGAGGAAGCGTGGTCTGTGGAGACCACCCTGACGCGATGCGGGAGGAGGAGAAGGCACGGCCACACGTAAAGGTTCTGAGGAGCATGGGGTCCTCCGGGGAATTCCAGGTCAAGACCAAAAGGGGAAGGAATCGTGGAGGAAAAGGCAGCGCTGTTAAGGGGCTTTACAGTTTACCGCGGACACCAGATAAAACAGAGAAGACGAAATCCTGCTGCTCTGGCCCAAACATTGGCTTGGCCAGGCAAGAAGAAAATTAAAAGAGCGCTCATGAACATTTTCATGCGCTTGATTTGGAAATGCTGCAAAGCAACAACAACAACAACATTCACTCCTGATCCTCACAACCATATTCTCTCCTGGGGCCCCGCCTGGCACACAACCACTCACATCGCCTGCCAGGCGGAGGCAGCTCCCAGGATGGCGAGGGAGCCAGGAGCCGCTGCCAGCAGGGCCATCTGCTCACCAATTCCCACAGTCTGAACAGCACGGCTTCCAAAAGGGGATTGCCGGAGGCCGGCAGCAGTCTGCACACGCAGGGCCGGGCCGGGGAGCGGAGCGAGGGAACGGGGCCTGTACTGCTCTGCGTCGTCAGCTTCGTTCTGGGCGGGAGATGATCGGTTCCTGAGACGTTTTCCAGAAGGCCTTTCAGAGAAACTGTCGGAATTGCTACACTGACTCTGCAAGCGTGCACTGCTATCTGCATTGCAGAGGGGTGCAGCCCGGTAAGGGGTGCAGGGCATGCCGTGGTGGCCCTCTCAGGGCCGGCCCAGCGTGACACAAGAGACACAACTCCCGCAGGGAGTCGGCCCCTCTAGTTCAATGCTGTGAACTAACTGATCTGAGCAGCATCGGAGGAAGACCAAACCCAGCAACGGCTCGCCAAGCCCGTCGTGGGCCTGACTCTGTGAGAGGAGCCCATGCAATCTACCGATGACCCTGAAAGGTCGTAGTTTATCTCTGTCTTAGATGGACAACTGAGACCCACAGAGGTGCAGGAATGCACAGAGGTAAAGGAACTGGGCTGCCAGAGCAGGAGCCAGATCCCCAACCTGCATCTGCCTGGCCCCGAACCCCACATTTTTCCTCTATGGGACCTTGCTCGTGTACGTAATTTACTGCAGGTTCAAAACTACGTTAATATATTTAAACTGTGGAAATGTTACGTGCAGGCGGGGAACAAGGCCCTGCCACCAAGGGAAGCACCGAGAGTTAGGGACGACACGAAAGCACAAGCACCTGCCACGTTAGGCCGGCGTGGTACCTGGAACCGATGGAGAAACCCAGAGCTACCTGTTTCCTCTGCAGAGAGGGGAGTGGCAAACCAGTGGGGTGGGAGCCCTTGGACCTGGCTGGGAGGATGTGGCCAAGTGAAAAAGAACCGGCTTAAGAGAAAGAGCGTGGTCGGGGAGCAGCGAGAAGGACTGAAAAACAGCATGTGCAAGAGGGGGGTGACCCTATAGATGAAACCATCAATTAAGGGTAGACAGAGGGGAGAGAAGAGAGAGAAATAACCTGTTGGGGTCCCTAGCTTTTCTCTCTTACCAACATCCTTTAGAAACAAAATCATGTCAGTTTACCTTGGGGATCAATTTGAAGCAAAGAGAAATCTGCTCTCCCTAACTTTCCTCCCCCCAAAACAAGCAAAACCAACAGACTATTCCATACATTTTTTCTCTCTAGGGCAGGCTTGGCGAGAAAAGGCCTGAAAATGCAAATTATTACATGGATGTGGATGAGTTTCAGTCAAAGCTTAAACCAGGACACCAGGACTGTTCTTGTTTGGCTAGACGGTTAGAAAGCAGGTTGGTGTCTCTCCGCCTGAACACGAGGAGGGAAGAGGGACGGGAAAAGGAAACTAAGAGGACAAGCTCAGAATTCGGCCCCCAACTCCAGCCAGGGTCTCCCAGGCTCACAATGGCACCGGGGACCTGCTGAGACGGTGAAGGGGAACTCGGAGTGGTCCTCAGAGGGACCGGGCATCCTGGGAGTCACCACCACAAGTCAGTGGCGGCCCTCGGTCCGGCCGTGTGCTGCCTCTAGCCACCTGGGTGACCTCAGGCAGCTCCCTCACCTGTAGGAGGCAGTGATCCAACTGAACTGAAGTGGTTCCAAGAGGCAGAGCAGAATGATAAACGCAGTACGTCCCACATATAACTTGGGCCTCAGGCTCCTCCTCTGTGAACTGGGAAAATACTCCCCCCATAGGATTGTGGTGGGATTAAATATGGCAACAGATACCGTGGGGCTTCCGTTCCTTGTGAGGTCCTCTCCAGCTCCAAACTGCGAAGAGAACGGGGCCTTCTATGGCCAGAAGGGCAAATACATATTTTTCATATCACAGCTGTTTGTAAGTTCTTTTAAAAAATAATAATAATAGCCCTGTTTCTCTCTCATCGATGTTCCTAACTCTCTATCCCTCTCCCTTCCTCTCTGTAAAAAGTCAATAAAATATATTTTTTAAAAAAATAATAAATAAATAAATATATATATATATATATTTCAGAGAGGGAGGGAGAGGGAGAGGGAGAGAGAGAGATAGAAACATCCGTGATGAGAGAGAATCATTGATTGGCCGCCTCCTGCAAGCCCCACACTGGGGATGGAGCCTGCAACCCAGGCATGTGCCCTGACGGGGAATCCAACCATGACCTCCTGGTTCATAGGTCGACGCTCAACCACTGAGTCACACCAGCCAGGCCTGTTGGTAAGTTCTTAACTGAAAACATTTCAAAACACGATGCTGTCAAGCCAATTAAGGGCAATGAAAGAAAGCCAAAAATAGTTCTTTGCCCCAAAGACCATCTAAGTGAGAGACCTATGTCCTGGGCCAGAGCCCTGCAGGAAAGGAATGGGGGTTAAAGGGTGAAAGAGATTCCGACTCTAGGTAAGGGCTGGAGGGCGCCTGCAGCTGCTCTAAGGGCCCCGCACGGGGTGGTCCCAGTGACAGCCCTTCTGCCAGTGCTGCCCCTACACAGTCTTTGAGGAGCAGACCTCCACTCCTCCCCTCCCTGCCTCCAAGCAGAGAGCCGCGTGCCAGCGTGCTCTGCAACACGGCCCGTGACTGCCCCCACTTGGGAACCTGGCTGACTCCAGCCTGCCAGCCCTGGCCAAGACCCGGAGCTACCAAAAACACCAGGTGAAAGAGTAAAGTTGTCATCGTCACTGCTCCTTCCTCGAGCATCACGTGAAAATGAGGGCCGGGCGATTGAAATATGACATCTCTTTGATTTTTGCAGGCTATTGCTTCCCCACATGCACGGGAGGTTTAGACATCACGTGTGCCACCATAAAAGCATTTTCCCTCCCTTCACTCAAACGCGCGGAAACTTCACCAACGGGCTGAGCACATTCCTACGGCTTCTGCACGCTGTCCTCGGGTTTTAACCCGGGGAACATCCTGCTCTCGGTAATGAGTACCAGTTTCTGATCACATATTTCCTTTTCCAATTAATTTTCCTCCTCCTCACAAGATGAAACCGACTTCTTTTTATTTTTTTTTAAAGGACAATGTCCCTGAAACTGTTTACTCTTCTGAACTGTAAGAGTCAGAGTTTAAGAATGGCTCCCTGGCACAGAGGAATACATTATATAACAAAGCGCTAAATCTCCTATAAACCAACAAAATGCCCAAAGGGAAAGCCTTAATTTGGGGGCAAAGAAAAACAAAAATGCTTTTGGTGTCTACTATTGAATATAGCAACTGAGGACTATGGGTAGCTTCAGGAATTTTTGTAACGAGCACAAAGATTTCTCACAAGCACAAAAACACACACAAAAAACACACCTTGAATTAATAAACTTAAGAGGGTTGACTGTCTGTTTCAAATCAGCAATGTCCTTACCTCAAAAGAAAGATCCTACCAAAAGCAGGATAGAAATGTGAGAGCATATTACAGGATTTTTTTTTTTTTAAAGCAAAGGGTAAAATCTGGAAGAAAGTATATAATGGTAAAGCAAGGGTGGTAGAATAATGGCAATTATTTTCCTTCTTTCCTAAACATTATATAATGTTATTAAAACTGTTTATAATAAAGACGCTACTAAAAAATCGGTGTATCCTATTTTGAGGGTCTTCCCTTTTGGAAAAAAAAAACAAAAACAGGAGTATTTCTTACCTGCTTGAAAGAAGACTTAAGAAGGAACATAAAAAGCCTGCTTACCTGAGGTTTAACTTCCGATCTTCATCGCTGCCAGCCTCCAACTACGGAGAAGAGAAAGAACGTCACATCACAGACAGCACCAGCCACCAGCCTGCGACATGAGTCCCACAGGCTCCGCTCTGGTGTCTGAAGAAGACACAGACGGACGTCCAGGAAACCTGGCGATTTCTAAACAGCCGCACCCTTTCCTCGCCAAGCCTGCTCGGCTGTACCTCGGGGTCATTCCCACAGAGGAATTCAGAAGTTTCCCAATGTTTACCCACATTCCTTCCACAGTATCTTGGATCAATATCTGGTAACTGAACATTGCTATCTGGCATTGCTGCTCAAGGCACTCTGCAGCCCTCCTTTCTCAACTTTCCTGGGGGGGGTGGGGTGGGGTGTTTGGATCTTATCCTGTTTTTCTTTTTTAAGGGAGGGGGCTGTGTTTTCAGAGAAACCATTTCCTCCTTCAAGCTAGGCCAGTGGTCGGCAAACTCATTAGTCAACAGAGCCAAATAGCAACAGTACGACGATTGAAATTTCTCTTGAGAGCCAAATTTTTTAAACTTAAACTATATAGGTAGGTACATTGTTATTAACTTAATTAGGGTCCTCCTAAGGCTTAGGAAGAGCCACACTCAAGGGGCCAAAGAGCCGCCTGTGGCTCGCGAGCCGCAGTTTGCCGACCACGGAGCTAGGCCGTAACTGAGTGATCGACACCATTCTAAGCCTCAACATTCAGGTTTAAAAAAAAGCCAAAAAAACCAACACACTCCAGGCAAGTCTTTCACAGCCAGGATCAGGCTGTCTGTCTGCGGGTCTGATGGCGCTTGGTGATTCTCAAAAAGGCTTAAATGTTGAGTATAAAACCTTCTAGGCGATTGATTTACATACATGAAAGAAAGGGACATTTAATATTTTCTAAAAGTTAAAAGGCCAAGAGGGGAGGCTCCAAAAGTAACCACAACTTAAGCCCCAACTGTAATTTTTCCTCCCGCTCCCTTTCAAGGAGAAAACTGAAATGAGAAAACACACACACACACACACACACACACACACCAAACAACGGCACCGCTGGGACTTGGCGTGTTTTGTATGTTACACAGAGGAGCCCATTGAATGGGAAAGAGAAACCTGGAAAGCAGTGATGGCTGGGAGAGATGCACGGCTGACCGAGGACGGAAACCTGACAGGGATGGGAAAAGGGTGCAGAGCTGATGCAGGGAGGGGGCTGGGAGGCAAGGGACACATGCCAGAGGGTTCTGGAGCCCCTTCGTTTTATTAACTCTATTTATTAAGTATATAAGCACGCACAGGCATGCACTGGTGCCACGTTCTCACACGCCCTGCTCCATCCTGAAGAAGTAGACTAATCAAGGAGGGCTTTGCTGGCCACAGGGCTGTGAGATTGGGTCTCGAAGTGAAGCATATACAATACAAACCACTCACCCCCCCACTCACCCCCACCCCTCCACCAACACCACAGACTTGGAAGAGAAGGTTGGGTCTAACGCAGTGGTGCTCACCCAGGGGCGATGTTTCTCCGAAGGGGACCCCGGGCAACGTCCGGAGCCTTTTTTTGGAGGGTGCTACTGGCATCTAGTGGGTAGAGGACAGAGTGCGACTAAACAGCCTACAATCCGCAAGACAGCCCCTCACAACCAAGAATTCTCAGGCCCCAATGTCAGCAGTGCCGATGCTCAGAAATCCTGACCCAACCTCCCAGAACGAAACTGGAGATGTGCCCATGAAAATCAGTCATCTTGAATGTTTGTCAAGCATAATGTGATGATCCATTCCTGAAGGTTATGGATTTTCCTGCTCTGGCGCTCTCTACCTGTTCTCACAAAGGAATGAGATAAGGTTAACGGTAAAATGATATAAGGGAGATGACGAGAGATGGGGGTGGGGGAAGAGAAAACAATTAAAAGTGCGAGGAGTGTTGCTTTGCTGGCCAGGCCGTGATTTCCCTCAGTTCCCACGCCACTCGGCAGGACAGGCTGGGTCAGGAAACAGCTGCCCTAAGTATCTCTCACTCCAAGAAGAATTTTGATGAATGAGGAAGTGATCTGGGGGTAGATACTTCAAGACCATTGAATTCATATTCTCATTCATTCCCTCTCTCTCTCTCTCTCTCTCTCTCTCTGATTCTCGGGATAAAAGGCCAGGGAAGGTCAGTCTGACAAACCACATATGTCAAAAGAGCAAACACAAGAGGGAACTCAGCCCTCTCTCTCTCTCTCTCTCTCTCTCTCTCTCTCTCTCTCTCTCTCTCTCTGTGATTCTCGGGATAAAAGGCCAGGGAAGGTCAGTTTGACAAACCACATATGTTAAAAGAGCAAACACAAGAGGGAACTCAGCCCTTTTGAATGAGTCGAGGCCCAGAGAGGGGAAGTGACCTGAGGGAGGTCAGGCCGGAGGCAGAGCCGCCTGGCCCGAGTCTCCGGCCTGCTGGCTCTCTATTCTGTCTTGCTTCTTCTTCATGCCTCATCCCACCTGGAAGCCCTGCCTTCCAGGAAACATCCCTGCCTCGGCTGGCTCGCTGGGCGACTCATGCTGCTGACTGACTTCACTCAAGTCCAATGAAAGCTGGCTGAGGATGATTCTATGTTCATCAGGTCCTTGGCACCTTGAGAAAATAATGCTTCATAGAATCACGTCAAATGTCTCTAGTGGAAAAAAAACCCCAATGTCCAATAAAATGGGGTATATCTCTACCAAGGAAAAAAAAAAGGAATGAAGTGCTGACACGTGGGACCACGCGGATGAGCCTTGAAAACATGAGGTAAGTGAAAGGAGCCGAACATAGAAAGACCACATAGTCTATTAGCCCAGAATAGGCAAATCCATAGAGACAGGAAGTGCATTAGTGGTTGTCTAGAGCTGGTGAGAGCCGCGCGGGGGTCAAGGGTCGGGGAGGAAGGCTCTGGGTGATGGCTGAAGGGGTGGGGGCTGCTTTCTGGGGTGATGAAAATGTTCTGGAATTAGACAGAGGTGATGATTGTACAACCTTGTGAAATATCCTAAAAACCACTGAATTATACACGTTCAATGGTGAACTTATGGTATGTGAGTTACATATAAAATAAGAATTTCTGCCCTGGCCGGTTTGGCTCAGTGGATAGAGCGTCGGCCTGCGGACTGAAGGGTCCCAGGTTCGATTCAGGTCAAGGGCATGTACCTTGGTTGCAGGCACATCCCCAGTAGGGGGTGTGCAGGAGGCAGCTGATCGATGTTTCTAACTCTCTATCCCTCTCCCTTCCTCTCTGTAAAAAAAATCAATAAAATATATTTTAAAAATAAATTTAAAAAAATAAAAATTTCTAAATGTGTCTTAAGTCAGGACTAGATCGGGGGTGAGTAACACCGGGAACATGGGGTTTGGATCTGAGACCAGGCTGAGAGGCCCTTCCTCAAGCTGAAGCCTTCACGCCTCTCACATAGTTTTTTGAGAAGGAAACACGAGATTAAGTGCACAGAGGCACTTGGTCAACTGCAAGGCAGCCATGATGGGAGGGCAGATGTCTCCGTGGGCAGGACAGAAGCTACTGCAGCCTGACTTCTAGGTTCTTTCTCAGCGTGCGGAGGAGGGACTGTTAGAATCTTCTGTCTGTTGTCAAGATAACTCATCAGCGGCCTTTCCGCGCGAGGAGGGTGCAGCCATTCTGAGAATGTCCCTGCCACTCTCAGCAAAACAGGCGAAAGAGCTACCCTGCCAGGAGCCGGGACAGACAGGGCTGTTGAAGCCAAATACAGGTCCTCGTCTCTCTGTCTCTCGCAGACACACACAAAACCTTCCGCGCTTTCCGTCAACTTCCCCTGCAGAGAAGGGGCCTGACTCGCAGATGCTGGAGGGGCCACTTCCTGGGCCGGCGGGGCTCCTCCTCCTCCAGCCTTCTTCTCTCCCTTCTCCAAACAGTGCCTGGTCTCCTCCTCCAGCTGCTGCCTGCCAGCCAACACTCAGTCTGGCCATGGAGACGAGTTTAGAGCAGAGGCCTTCACTGGTTCTCCACGAGAAGGTGAGCAGGAGTAGAGACAGGAGGGTCAGCCCTGCGGCTGCAGCAGGGACCTGCTCAGAGGGCCCAGACCCAGCCTAGCACCGTCCAGCCCGACTGTGGAGACTCAGAGGACCAATTTCCCAATCGACACCCCAAACAAGGAACCAGCCACACACATAGGCCAGGTCACACACACAGTCTCACAGAAACCCGTGCAGGGCAACCATGCATCCCCAGAATGCATCTGTGCAGCCGGGGAAAGCCCAGCATCAGCCTGTGCCACACGGCCAGCTGCACGTAAACACGCAGCCCCCAGGGATGTGACAGAAAGGAAAGACCCTGACCGGGCCGCACACAAAGACGTAAGACACACGGTCGCCCGGCACCCTGAGCTCACTCAGCCACTGCCACAGGGACACAGGCACAGCCACTGACGCCGGGAGCCAGAACCCCCGGGGCGTGCCAACGGGGAACAATCTCGCACAGTCACAGGGCACCCTGCGGCCTCTCTCACAGCATCACACAGGCAGTTTCCAGAGCACGGGCCACAGAGTCACAGGCAGCGACAGTCACACGGCCTCGCAGACACACGGCCTCACAGACACACGGCCTCACAGACACATGGCCTCACAGACACACCGCCAGGCGCTCAGGGAAAGGGCCGAGACCAGCCACAGGGTCACAAATCTCAGAACCGGCCTTTCACACAGTCGCCCCATTAGGTGCCCCAGGCGCACATCCAGTCTCCTGCACAGTCACCCCCAGGCAGGGGTCACAGACAGACAGCTTCACTGCACAGTGAGCCCCAGTCGAGGTGACACCCGCGCATACAGTCACCCCCAGGCAGGGGCAGGGGTCACAGACAGACAGCTTCACTGCACAGTGAGCCCCAGTCGAGGTGACACCCGCGCATACAGTCACCCCCAGGCAGGGGCAGGGGTCACAGACAGACAGCTTCACTGCACAGGCAGCCCCAGTCGGGGTGACACCCGCACATACAGTCACCCCCAGGCAGGGGCAGGGGTCACAGACAGACAGCTTCACTGCACAGTGAGCCCCAGTCGAGGTGACACCCGCGCATAGTCACCCCCAGACGGGAGTCACACCCGCAAACAGCCACCCCCAGGTCCTGCAGTCACCCTCAGACGGGGCCACAACTTCACCCATCTCCGCGCCGCCCCCCGAGTCCGGCTG